GCCATCACCCAGTGTGCCGGTTAGCTACAGCAACACAGGAGAGAGAGTTGACTGTGTGCCGGCGTTGCTCTGTAGTTGTAGGGAATGTGAATGGAAACACATCCAACATACACTAACATCACCCAGATGTGCTGATCACCCGGACGAGGAAAAAAATAACAGGAGGTTAGCTCCTTATCCCAGCTGCTTTCAGGCAGCCTTAGGACGCAAAAAGCAGGATGGGACACGCTGAAGATGTTGGAGGCATATTAACAGAAATACACTGAACACAACAACGCACAGTATGGCATGACCCAGATGTGCTGATCACTGGCACCCCTCTGTAATGTAGCGTATAATGACATGAAAACACACAACAACCTTTGGATGATATTTTTTCTGTTGGCACATGAGTGGAAGTGGAGCAGTGTGGATCAGTGTGGATGAATGGAAAATAAAAACAATGAACAGTTTATTTCAGGTGGTAACATGTTACATGACATTGTAAATGTAATGATATTACCCCAAATCCTGTTGGTAATGTATTATATTACTTTGTTACTGCTAAAAGGTAAGATATTACTGTAACATATTACTTTTGTAACATATTACCCCTGCCATTATACATCTGACTCATATAGAGTTTTTAGGTCACAAAGATGCTTTATGTGTATTTATGTGAAACGGCTGACGTCCTGGACACAAGAGAAATTTGGGATTTTTTAGCGGAATCAAATAAAATCAAACAGAAGAGGATATATGTATAAAAAGATCTTTAATAGATAACACAGATAATAAAGATTAAAATGGATTCAGTCAACAATGGATTAAAAACAGACGGAGTGGTGGTGGTGGTGGTGGTGGTGGGTAGTTTGGGAAAACGAGTCTGTAGAGGTGGGTTTTGAGGCCCTTTTTAAATGCTGTAAGCGTTGGGGCGTGTTGATGCGGTTACTGTGACTTCCATAGAGAGGAGGTGGGCACTGAAAATGCTGTTATCACCAAAGGTTTGGCACAAAGTCCTGAGGATCTGACAGTGGTTGGCATCAGCAGAGCTGAGACATCAGGAGGGGCAGTGCTGGTGGAGGAGGTCAGAGAGATAGGGGGGAGCCAGGTTGTTAAAAGCCTAGTAGGTGGTGAGTGGAATCCTGAAGTTTATTCTGTGTTCAACCAAGAGCTAGTGGAGGTCATGAAGGATTGGGGTGATGTGGTCACATGTACGGGAGCACACACAGCACTGTCGAGCCGGCAATTTCACTGAGCTAAAGGACTACAATGACTACAACCTTGTCGTAAACAACCCCCTTTCCATTTCCAGTGGGGGATTTCTACCAACGGACAATGAGGCTTCCTATAGAAAACCAATGGATTAGACAAAATGTCAAATAAATCATCACAGAAACCACAGTTTGCTACGATTTTTATGTCAGAACATCAACGAACACCACTGACCACTCGGTGAGTTTCATCGCTTTGAAAATGAATGTTTAGGGTGGTTTAGGGACAGATTCACACATGGCCATAGACAGCATTGTTAAGCCAGGCAGGGGAAAGCCAAATTCTCCGAAAAGGAGCAGTCGTAAAAAATTTTGGTCTTAACCACTCTATTTCATCATAAACAACCCAGAAATGGAGCTCAAAGTGCAAAATACCAGACTTCTCCTTTAAACGGAAATTTTGATTTATTTCAACCCGTCTCGTATCGTCCTAAATTTGTTTCAAGTCACTAGTGACATAGAAATAATAGTTAGCATGTTAACCGTTAGCCTAGATACAGCCGTAGCGTCAGACCTGTTAAAACTTAATTGAACGGGCATCCTTTCAAGTGCAAAGTTAGTCCACTAAACAAGCTTTTTCTCCACAAAGACCGCCTCATATCGTTAGTATAAATGTCAGAGAACATATAGAAAACGACATATAAACGTGTTGTCTTACCTTACAGGTGTGGTGCCATGTTTGTCGTTTACCATTTAGCTAAGGCTGCAACTGGTTGGAAGGAATGGGACCAGTTACAGCCTTAGCTAAATGGTAAACTGTGGGCATTGGGGTACAGCATTTACAGGTAACGTTACACCACCAATCTCCAGAGCTAAAGCCTTCCAGCAGCCATTCCTCCTCTCTCGTCCTCTACCTGTTGTGCCTCTCTCTCTCCTCCTCCTCCGTTCTTCAATTTCACGAAGCTCTTCATCAGTGTATTCTGGCTCAAATAAATAAGGGCGGCCCGTTCAATTACGTTTTAACAGGTCTGACGCTATGGCTGTATCTAGGCTAACGGCTAACATGCTAACTATTATTTCTATGTCACTAGTCACTTGAAACAAATTTAGGACGATAGGAGACGTGTTGAAATAAACCGAAATTTCCCTTTAAGGACGGAGTATGTGGTGCTGTAGAGGATACTGTTGCAGTAATTGAGCCTGGATGTTACAAGTACATGGATGAGAGTCTCTGCAGCATAGGTGACAGCGAGGTTTGGAGGTGGTGGACAATGTTACGGAGGTGAGAGAGGAGTCCTCTGCTACTTTCATGTTGTTGTTATGGGGAAAAACAAATGCACATGTCTTAATATTAAGGGTGGCATGTCCTCTGCATCCACAATCTACACCCATATCAGCAGCCATTAGTGTACTGATACTGTCTTACAGTATTCAGGGCACATCTGCACATCACTACACAATGATCATGTCCACATGAGAAAGGTTAGCATTTAGAATCTTATCTAGTTGGAAAGGTGAAGCTGGATGATCCATAGAGGCACGTCTGAGAAGTTAGCATTATGGCTTCGACTGCTTATCTTGGTGCTGAAAGCCCAAGTTCCTGTTATATACAGGATGTCCCTGACAACATTTCAGGCTGCTGTGAGAGCGTCAGCATCCCCCTGTGTAATTGTCCTCTCATGCTCTGGACCTCATCTGAGATGTCAAGTAATGTGAAATGAGGGTGAGAAGCAGGTCACCAAAGTTAAAGTGCTTCTAGGTCTGCTTTAGAGGGAATATAAATGAGAAACTCAGACCAGCAGGCAGCCTTGTTAGTTTCAGCAGACTGCTTAAAGGGATAGGTTTGGATTTTTTCAAATCGTTAATACATCTGGGGCCAGATATAGATGTGTGTACGATATTTATAGGGGAAGAATATGCGGTGAGAATGTGTGCACCTCACACTGACTTCGGACCAGTGAAGACCGTTTTAGCCCAGATAGGTGCAGGTGATACAATAAGGTGGAGATTAAATACAAGTTAAAGGTCCAGTGGGTTTAGCTGGATATATTGGCAGGAATGGAATAAACTATAATAAGTATGTTTTCTTGAGTATATAATTACCTGAAAATAAGAATCATTTTGTTTTTGTTACCTTTGAATGAGCCTTTTATATCTACATATGGAGTGAGGGTTCTACAGTGGCCCAGAACAGAAAAACCAAACAGTGGTTCTAGATAATAGGGCCATTTGCATTTTCACATTGGCCACCATAGTTAGCAGCCCTTCTGTGAACGTGTTGGAAAAAATACTGAATTTTAACACGAAACTGCTTTATTCAGTGTTTTTAGCAGTTTAAATCACCTAGTCTGATTGGTTTGGAGAAGAAGAGACCTCTGCAGATAATTTGGCTAGCAGTATAAGCCTCCTGAATGTCTGGATTTTAAGTTACCAGAGAAAAAAGGTGCTTACCGGTGTTGGTTAGCAGCCTGTTTCTGATATGCCATACAGCATTGTAGAAACACCCATTTGTAACATGAAACTGCTTTAGGCAATGTTTTTACTGGTTTAAATCACCTTGTCTGTTTGTTTTGCAGAGGAAGAGACTTCTGCAGATAATGCGGCTCATGGCAAAAACTTCCTGAACATCTTGATCAGAAATAATGTGAGCACACATTAAGTTCTCAGAAAAAAAAGGTGAGTACAAATTAGCGGGTGCTGGGCAAGTAGAATGTCTCCAACATGCCAAAAAGGGTAGGAGAAACATTGATTTGTAACTTGAAATTGCTTTATGGAGTGTTTTTAATGGTAAAACCATAACCGGGTCTGAGAAGAGACCTCTGTGGATAATTCAGCTCCTGGTAAAAACCTCCTGAACAATGAACACCAGAGGTGGCAGTTAGTCACACAAGTGCAAGTCATCAGCAAGTCTGAACTAATACCGTTCAAGGCTCCAGCAAGTCCCAAGTCACTGTGGCAAAAATCAAGCAAGTCAAGTCAAGTCCTTGCCACAAGTCAAGCAAGTCGAGTCATGTCATTGGTCAGGTGAATCAAGTCACAGGTCAAGTCATACCCACAAACTCATAAAGATAATATAACATAAACTGCACCCAGTGATGAAATGTAACTTAACACATTTACTCAGGTACTGTAAGTACAAATCTGAGTTTTTCCTTCCATTGTCACCATCTACCTCTACTGCATTTCTTTTATCTGACAGCTTTAGTTACTTGTTACTTTACAAATTAAGATTTTACACTCAAAACATATGAAAATGTACAAGAACAGCTGGAACTATGAGTCAATTATTGAACTAACAGAAAATAAATTTGCCACTATTTTGATAATCACCTAAGTCGCTTTGTAATGCAAAAACATTTCCAGGCTCCAGCTTCATAAATGTGAGTATTTTTTGCTGCCTTTGCTTTTTGATATTTACTTAGGACCTAAGTGCTGATGCTCTAAGGGCCCCAAAAAACCTTTAAGTCTAAAGTAAGCCAGAAAACCTGTTTGGTGGATGCACTCACTGGAATGAATGGGTCAGCATCTTGGGGACACAGTTTTCACTTTCCTTCATGAGTCAGAGGAAAAAATATTATCATGGAATAGTCTTCTTTAAAACACACTGTATTCGCCAAGGGAAGTTTCATGAGAGCAGTGCTTTCCTTGTGATGTCAGCAGTATTGTTGTAATTACTATTGCAGTGTTAAAGGTTTGGATCTGCTGATAAATCTTTCTCTGTGGAGAGAAAGTCAACAGAGGGCAGCAACATATCCTTTTTGTTCAACACTGGTAGCTAATGCACACCAGCACAGCTTTAAACCTCACCTGCTCCCTCATGCGCTCCTGGTGTCCCATGATGATGGCAGCATGGTGAGGATACTTCTGCCTCAGGTGGTCCAAAAACACCTCCTTCTTCCTCTCCACATCAGAGTGCTGCATCATCAGGCTGTCCAGCTGGCTGTCCCTGCTGCTTGCACGAGCGGCTGTGACGTAGCTTCGTGGTAAGGTGCTGGGAGAGCGTGGAGCCGTTGCACAGGAGGTGAAGTCCGGGTTACACAGCAGGCTGCTGTTAGTGTGTAGTTTCTTCTGTGGCACACACTCAGTGCTGCCGTCCACGGCAGTGGAAAAAGAAGAAGATACTCTGGACGGGGAGGTTCCTGGATCTGAGCGGAATAGATAAGAGTACAGAGAAAACAAATAGATGAAAGAAAAGAAAATGTAGGACAGGACAAGAGAAGGCAGAAGACAGAAAAATCATGACAAGATATATTGTATGGCTACATAAAAAATGTACAAAGTTGTCACAGTTGAACCATGTTGAATAGGTACACATTTCACTATCTCTCAAGCTCCTTTAGTTTTACTTAAATTCAAAATGCAACTTTGGATTCTGTGAAGGTGTGAATGAGAAGCTGGTTACTGGAAGCCTCTGTGATTAATAATCATGATGCATTTTGTTTACAGGCACCTTTCAAAGCACTCAAGGTCACCTGACAAGACACAGTTAGAAAAAGAAGCAGCAAAGTATCCATAGACCTTAAAGTCAAACAATCCAGTAATATACAATAATAAGTTAATAAAATAACTAGACAAAGTCATATTCATAAAAATTAGGTATAAAATCATCATAATAAACACATCATTACTGCAAGTCTCGATATGTCTGCCATTATTAAATAGAACTGAATATGCCAGCCTGAAAAGGTGTGTTTTCAGACAGGAGCTGAAAGTGGACAGGGAGTCAATATTGCAAATGTCATGGTGTTGAAGGCTCTAGAACCTGTGGTAGTCAAGCGGGCAGATGGTAATATCAGTTGGACTGCAGAAGAGGATCTAAGAGTACGGGACAGTTTTTATTAAAATAACTTGATTTACTTTTGGTTTCACACAGGAAATGAACAGCACGGTCTTCTGGGTGTAAGTCCAGAGTTTGTTTGACCCATCCCCCACCATTCTCAACCACCCTGTGTGGACTTTCTTGCTCTTCATGTTATGGTAGTTGCCCGCAGTATGAGAAATTGCAGCCAACCAGTGCATATCATACCGCTGCTAGGGGTGCCTCTGTGTGTCAGTGTCTGCTGCCGAGTGCCACTGACAAAGGTATTTGACAAGTTGGGAGTGAAATTATGAAATTGATTGATATATTGACTCACTCCATAGGTAATTGGTGATTAAAACTTAACTTTCATCTCTCAGAGTTCAGACTGTTTCCGTACAGCACAGCTACTTTCACAGATAACTGAGCCTCCTACGTGCCTGTCATTCAGCATCAACCCATATACCTTCTTCAGTCTGGACTGAGTGGAGTCCTGCGGGGATAGCCAGTGGCTGCTTGCTCCACTGCCGTTCAGCAGCTAACAAACCAGCCACTGATGCAACTAACAAACTCCATAAATCCATTCAGCAGCTCCACCATCCACAGTCAGACACACACACTGATTATTTACTGCTGAATTACAGCAAACACTTTGCACCAACAGCTGATGCTGCTCAGGCGTGAGTGTTTTTGCTGACTAGGGAAACATCCTGGTGCAGACTATTTGAGTTCACTCATGCAGCATTTGAAGATAACTGCAATCACGGCTGTTCTTTGCTTTTAATGTCCAATAGTTTACCACTAACATTGTCATCATGTCATGTTTTGTCTTGTCTCATGTTATCAACGTAAATAAAGCATATATTTGGTCTTAGTTCTACTTAATCAAGATCTATTTTTAGCTTGTCATCGTATTGTTTTCGTCATAGAAAATGGTCATTGACAAAACATTTTTTTGTCAACATTCATTAAAGCCACAGTGTGTAGAAATTTCTCCCATCTAACGTTGAAATCATATATTGCATTCAAACTGATAGCGCACTCCAGCGCCTCACTGTTTCAAATGTGTATTGCAACTACTGTAGCCGCTGTGTACCAAAAAGCTATGGTAACATTGATGAAACCATGTGATCCGATACTTCATGGAGTATTCATTCAGGCTCCTACACAGACACACGCAACGTGAGTTGACAAACCTCCTCCTCACCATGCTGGCTGTGTTTACAATGTAGGACTGTTGGGGCAGGTGTAAATCGAAACAAACCAATCATGTCTTGTCTTTTGACAACTGACAAGTGGCTCAGCCTCACACACCTCATCCCTCTCCTCGCATCACTGTGCTGTGATGCTGCTAACAGCGGCACAGTGATGCGAGGAGAGGGATAAGGCTTGTGAGGCTGAGCCACTTGTCACTGTTAGCCGTTTCCCAGCTAACAGCGGTGCTGGCCTGTGATTGCATTAGCTTTCTCCTTCAGCAGCCCTCTCCACCTGGAAAAGGCTACCCCCATGGATAAAAAGAAAAAAAAACACATTTTAGAATAATTGTATTGAACAGCTAAATCTGATATGACTGACAGAATTCTGAGTCAGTACAGCCCAAATTATAACATTAGTTGTCTCTAAAAGGTTGAGTGGTCTAATACTGCCTTCTGAAAAAGCGCAGGGAACATATCCTCTTTGTCTCGCTAAATTACGCCCCTGCCTGTGAGCTTGCATCGGAACTAAACACAACAAACCAAACACCTACCTGCCAAAATGTAAAATTTGGGACTTCAGTGGAACATAAAGTCAAAATCCCTCACTTTGACTCTGAATACTGTGCTGCTTTTAGCCAATTATTTGTATGGATCAGTTGCTGTGTGATGTCCATGTTGTTAATGTGCATCAGTGTATGGATAATTGCTGTAATAATGGAGGAACAATATGCAGCTCTGCAGATGGCGAGAACAACAGATTCAGGGAAGCTAAAAATAAAATACAACAGAGCATTCATTCAACTTCATATAGCACTTGTCCACAAACAGCTTGAGAGGGATTGTCACTGACTATAAACAGTGTGAGCTGGGATTTACAAGAGTTTATGTAGGCTAAGTATCTGCTTCCTGAATACCAGTGTTCTCATGAGGTGTCAATATTTGATCACACTTAAAGTGAGAAACAGGAATGGAAGTAGGTTGATGGAATTATCCAATAAATTCCACCAGGACATAAATTAACTGACTTAACAGCAGCAGTTAGTGACTTTGTTTTTGAAGCGCTGTAGTCCATTTAACCACACACGCATGCAAACACAAAAAACAATCACTGTACTTCTATCTCAGAAACAGAAATGGCTGATGGCACAGTACAGCCTGTATGTTGGACAGAAGAAATAGTTCAGTCTAAATGCCACTGATCCAGCCCTAACTCCAGCTTTCTGCTCTGCCTTCTGTGACTGATGCTGTCTACAGTGCTGTGTGGCATTTCACACTGTCAGACCTGCAGGTTCCAACTTACACTGTAAAAAATGAATTCACAGCAGAGGTGACACATCTGCAGCGCAGAAACTCTGCACAAGTGACTGGCCATCCAAACCTCACCAACTTTGATTTAAGCTATAAGTGCAAACACAGACTGGATGCCAACTGCTGTTATTTAGAGGTAAGCAGAGTAGAGGAATTGTCCTCTAGCTCCACAACTGTTTTATTTGGGTTTACAGTCTGTATATTGTTAGTTTGGATTAGTTGGTGAGCCTCCTAATCGCCTTTCAGCAGCAGCAGAATGGAGCTGAGTGGAGCTGTGGGCAAGAAATACCACTAACTCTCGTCAGGCTGTTCAATTGACAAATATTTCTAAGAGGTTACACAATAACTCCATGGGGAAACATAGGGAAAAAATAGATTAACATCCATCCATGTGAACCTAAAAGTCTGGGGAGCTATTTTACTTTGCTTGTGTTGGCTAAGTAAACATGCCTGACATGCTTCCCTGGGTGTCCACAACTGATGCAGGAGGGTGGGTATGTAGCGCATCATATTTTGACTTGTAGAGCCACTGACCAAGCGTTGGCGTTTCATGAGTTTGGAGTGAGAATGTGTTGTATACTTTTTCTGCGTGTGGTTTGTCTTTGGGGTGTTGCTGTATCTCAGCAGAAGCTGTTGTGCTGTGTGTCAAACACTGATCTATCTCTCTACACTCTATCTCTTTTTCATTACTTTCAACAGGCTGTTCTCATGCACTGTTTGTACACTTTCCCATGAAAAGTAATGCACCAACATTCATACATATCCCACGTAATGATGAGCTGGTAATACATATATAACCCACATGTTTTGGAAGGCTGCAATTGTCACGTGACCAATGTGCTGACGTGAGTAAACAAGGAAGCTGCTGACCACTCCAGTAAGGAGACAGGTTGGGGCAGTGGATTGTAACACAATAACAGTGAAGCAGTCGCCGGCAATAAAAATCTTAGACTTCATATTTGAGTCATATTTGAGTTTCTGCCTATAGGCAGGCAGAAGCAGATTCAAGACATTATCTTATTTGCTGAAGGGGACACGAGGGAGGGCCTTAAGTTACAGAAAGGAATCGTATATGATTGAGTGTTACCACATGTAGGACAGCTGGTGTGCTGAGATCTCAGCAGGACTTTTCTCAGTTTGGAACAATCTCCAGCCACAGTAAAAGAAGCCTCTGGCCGTGAGGTCTCTGGTTCTGTCAGGAACTCCATACAGCTCGTGCAGGGCTTGGGTGGTCTCAGTGTATGGTGGAATGTACATGTAAACTCCTTTAGGAGATAATAAGGTAGGCATCTGATCATAAGGGGCTGTAGGTTAGGAGAACAACTCGAAGAAATCACCTCCACATCTTCCCACTGATCACTGCTGGTTGTTGATGATGAAGCAGACACCTCCCCTTTTGGTCTGCCGTGATTGTATTGTCCTGTCCAGGTAGCAAATAGAAAACCCCTCTGGAAAAATGGCGGAGTCTGGGACCAAAGGATCAAGCCAAGTCTCAGTGAAAAACATAATGATATAGTAGTTCTTAGTATCACATTGGAAAGCCATCCTGCTCCTGAGTCCATCCAGTGACTGGACATTTGTTAGAAGAATACTCAGTAGAGGAGGCCAGTTTATACATTTTCTCAGTCTGACCTGGAACCTGGCCCACGACCTTTCCAGGTACAGCAACAGGTAAGCCCATGGACGTGTTGTCCACCAACAATCTGATGTGCACAACTTGTTCTCTGTCATATTGTATGGGTTTGCTTGCGCAGCACACATGACGCAGAAGATACAAAAATACATGACAAATAAAATAACAAAATAAAACATGAAAAATACAAAGTCAATGAGGAGTTTGAGA